GTCCTCTCGCCATGTCCCGGCCTCCGCCGCTCGGCGCCACCTCGGGCGCCCCTCTCCGGCCCGCCACGGTTCTGGGCACCATGGAGATGGGGCGCCGCATGGATGCGAGCGCCAGCGCCGCGACGGTACGTGCCTTCATGGAGCGCGGCCACAGCGAACTGGACACGGCCTTCATGTACTGCGACGGCCAGTCCGAGAGCATCCTGGGCGGCCTGGGGCTTGGGCTGGGCAGCGGCGACTGCACAGGTAACCGCTGCACCTGCCCCCCCCCGACACACCCCCACACACTCCTGCACCCCCCAGGTTCTGCACCCAGGAGCTTCGTAAGCTCCCCACGTCCACAGCTGCGTGGACTCCAAGCTCCTAAGTCATCTGAAGTTCTGAACTACCGAACTGAGCTTGGTCCCGTCTCTCCTTCGAAGCTTCTGGGCTTGGGCGGGTGTGAGGAAGCTCCCCAGTCTCACCTTGAGCCTGTTCTTCTTGCCCCTTGCTTCCTACCTCCGTTCCTGCCTCCCAACTCTCCAGTTGCCCATAGCCGCCGCCCCGCCACGAGCTTTGTGCTTATGCCCTCCCCTCTTACCCTCACCACCCCTGCACCCCAGGAGCATATTTGATCACCTCCTAGACTTTGTCCTCAAGGAGGCCTGTGGCAATGCCAAGGGCTCGAGGGCCCAGGGGTGGAAAGGTAGCGTGGGGAGAGGGCACTAACTAACCTTTCTACCCACACTGGGCCAGGTCTTGTAATGGGGACTACTGCAATGGGGAAGTGACTAGCACACAGAGGGAGTTCCAAGTCCAGCACTGAAGACTAAAGCCGTGATTGCTGGGGAGTAGCTTGTGGAAGCCCCAGGGAGGGCAGTAGGCGAAGCTGGTAGAGCACTGAGGCTCTACGAGCTTCGTAAGAAGCACTGTGCTGTGGAGAGAACAAGAGAAAGGGCCACTGGAAGCTGAAGACTCAGCAGTTCGAAGATAGAGCTTCTCAGTGCGGAGTACATGTATGGGGCAGGATGGTCAGTGCCATGTGTCCCTTCATGGAAGATGAGGGGAACTGTCCCTCGTTTCCTTGAAGCCATTGGAAGTCTCGGGAATGTGCCTGATACCTAGGGAGTGTTTCCTTTGCCTCCTCCCGGTTCCTGTGCAGTGGCCCTCTGGGGCTCCTTAGATTCACAACACGGTGGAACTGGAGGGCCATAAATGAGCGGATCTCTCAAGCCCAACACCTGGCTGATCTTTTTCTGATACCTAATTTATATTTAGTAGTGCTTTGCCTGCATGTATGTATGCTCCCAGAGACCAGAACAGGACGTTAGAGACCCTGGAACTGTAGTTGCAGGTGATTGTGAGCCAAACGTGTGGTTCTGGGAATTGAACCTGGACCCTCTGCAAGAACAGTAAATGCTCCAAACCACTGAGCCATCTCTTTCAGCCTCTCTTTCATATGTTCTTACATAGTACTTTACTGGCCACCCTCCTTTCAGGCCTGCCCCCACTCCCAGTTCCTTCTCCATTCTATGGCTTGCAGGAGCCAAATAATGGGCCCATATCATCCTGACAAAACTTGAGAACATCAAGTCTGAAGTCTGGGATGGTGTTTGAGCACCTTTGGGGTGAAGTCTCCACTCTTCTCATGTCTCAAGTCCTACACCACCTGCCCTGTGATTATATACTCTTAAAATTCAAAATGCAGCCTCGTGTGGCAGGCACCCACATCCACTGAGACAACTTACCAGCCAACATTTTTTAAAAGTGTCTATTCAGGTCCTTTGTCCATTAAAAAAATTAAAACTTTTAAAGATATATTTTTTTATGTAGTGTACAAGTGTTTTGTCTGCATGTATGGGTGTGTTCCACATACCTTGTACCCAAAGAGGGTGTTGAATTCTCTGGAACTGAAGTGATGGGTGGTTGTAAGATGCCCTCTGGGTACTGGGACTCGAACCTGGGTCTTCTGCCAGAGCAACAAGTGCTTTTAACTGCTGAACCATCGTATCTCCTGACCCTGGAGAGATGGCTCAGAGGTTAACAGCACTGCCTGCTCTTTAAGAGGTCCTGAGTTCAATTTCCAGCAACCACGTGTTGGCTCACAACCATCTATAATAAGATCTGGTGCCCTCTTCTGGCCTGCAGGCACACATGCAGGCAGAACACAGTATTCATAGTAAGTAAATCTTTACAGAAAAATAAAAATAAAGCCCCCTCAGTTCATAGATGGCATGATTGTCTACATATAAAATTGGAAGGATTTTAAAACGACGTAGAGGGCTGGAGAGATGGCTCAGAGGTTAAGAGCATTGACTGCTCTTTGAGTTCAATTCCCAGCAACCACCTGGTGGCTCACAACCATCTGTTATGAGATCTGGTGCCGCCTTCTGGTGTGCAGATATACATGGAAGCAGAATGTTTATACATAATAAATAAATAAAATAAAACGACATAGAATTTTAAGTTTTATTTACTTATGTATTTTATGTGTGTTCTGTCTGCATGATTGCCTGTACACCAGAAGAGGGCATCAGATCCCATTATAGATGGTTGTGAGCCACCATTTGATTTCTGGGACTGAACTCAGGACCTCTGGAGGAAGAGCCAGTGCTCTTAACTGCTGAGCCATTTTTCCAGCCCCCTACCTAGAATTTAAGAAGAAAAAAAGGTTATTTAATTCCTGTGCCCTCCATGTGAGGACAGTTCTACTATTGTCATTTCATTTTACAGATTAGGAATTAGGGACCAAATTAAGTAATTTACCCAGGAACATTGACATTTACATGGCCAGTGAGTAATTCTAATACATCTTTTTGTTGTTGTTTTGGTTTTTCAAGACAGGGTTTCTCTGTGTAACAGCCCTAGCGTCCTGGAACTCATGTAGACCAGGCTGTCCTCAAATTCACAGAGATCTGCCTGCCTCTGCCTCTTGACTGCTGGGATTAAAGACGTGCACCACCATGCCTGGCCTTCGAATAGGTCTCTCTCTCTCTCTCTTTTAAAAAAAATATTTATTTCTGTATTTATTACATGTACAGTGTTCTGTCTGCATGTATCCCTGAAGGCTGCAAGAGGTCTGTCTCATGACAGATGGTTGTGAGCCATTTTGTGGTTTCTGGGAATTGAACTCAGGACCTCTGGAAAAACAGCTTGTGTTCTTTAACCACTGAGTCATCTCTCTAGCCCTCGAATAAATCTCTTAATCATCATTATAATCTTCCTGCAAGTGAAAATTGCCACCAAGGCCAACCCTTGGGATGGAAAGTCACTAAAGCCTGACAGTGTCCGGTCCCAGCTGGAGACGTCACTGAAGCGGCTGCAGTGTCCCCGGGTGGACCTCTTCTATTTACATGCACCTGACCACAGCACCCCTATAGAAGAGACGCTTCGTGCCTGCCACCAGCTGCATCAGGAGGTGAGGGTGGCCCCTGAGCTCAGAGAGGTGATCTCTACTCCTCTCGTCCTTACTCTGGCTTGACAACAAGGCTCTCTGGGTATCCAGGGCAGAGCTAGGCACAGATTCCACTCCCAGGTTCCTCACCCAGTTGGTTTTCCCTTCCTGGTTCCCTGGGCTGAGCAGAGTCCTCTCCCCTGCAGGGCAAGTTTGTGGAGCTTGGCCTGTCCAACTATGCCTCCTGGGAGGTGGCGGAGGTCTGTACCCTCTGCAAGAGCAACAGCTGGATCCTGCCAACCGTGTACCAGGTGAGGGCGATTTGGTGTGCTAGGGCCACCCAGACCTCAGGGCTCAGTTGGTCCCAAGTCATCTCGTGCTTTGGACCCCTGCTTAGACCCTCTACAGAGAAGCCACTCCCCTCCTCAGAGCCTGCAGGTACCACCTCGTTTCTCACCAGCCTGGCTGTTGCTCACCTGCTTGCTTACCGTCTGAGCACACACGTCTTCTTCCTTCCTCCCATCCTGCACTGCAGCCTAGAAGTACTAGAATACCCCACACACACGCCCTAGAAGTACTCTCCACTAGCCCCTAGGAGCCTCCAGTCTCTGAAACACATCCTCATAGACAAGCTACTTGAGTACCTCCTTCACCTTGGAGTCCACCTTTGCTGCATTTCTCTGCAGATTTCTGTTATTGTGGTGTTTTGTTTTCTGGTACTGGGGACTGAACCCAAGTCCTGGTATCTGTTCTATACACCTCAGCCTGCTGTCTATATTTTTAGTTTCATTATTACATCTCTTGGAAGTGGAGAATTTGCTGAACTTTTGAGTAGTTGTGATTTTGGCATTCAGCTCATAGAAGAGGCCTGGAGATATCTGTAGAGTGATAACCCAGGCCAGTTTCCCCTCCCTGGGCCCAGCATTCTCAACCACACTCCATCCCATAATATTTAAGGAAAAAAAAAGGCGGTTTAGTCCCTAAGACCTCCAGGTGAGAGTTGAAATAATTGAACCTGGGATAGTGAGATTTTGAGTTTCCAGAGTAGAAAATTTCAAATCTGGGCATAGTGGCACATACATGTAATTCGCCACTTGGAAGTCTGAGGCAGGGGGATCACTGTAAGTTCAAGGCGAGCCTGAGCCAGGTGTGATTCCTGCACCTGTGACCTGGTGCAACAAAAGGCAGGGGACAAGAGGATCACTGGGGCTTGTGCTATGCCCACCTGGCTCCAGATTTGGTAAGAGGCCCTGTCTCAAGGGAATAAGGCAGAGAGGTACAGCAGGACCCCCAACAGCCTCCTCTGGCCTCTGCACCCATACATGTATACAACGCATACCTACAGGCACACACACAAAGGAAAAATGGAGGACTAGCAGACACAGGGTATAAACCTCTAGTCCCAGCTACTGAGGAAGTTGAGGCAGAAGGATCACTTCAGCTGAGGAGTTTAAGGACAGCCTGGCGAGTT